TGTGTTACGTTAAAGCAGCTTGTATTAGTGAGTGTTCATCCCATATCCTAAACACCTGCTTTTCTTGGTAGTTTTTATGAAATCCTCTAAAAGGGGCTTTGCTACAAATGGGCCCTGGTCTGTACCTGTTAGAGTGGGTTTCTTATGTACTGCTATATACAAATGACTTTGGGTGTATAAATTTTTTTTTTATAAGAACCTATAGTTTTTCAACCTGGAGTGTGAGTGCCTTTCGAAACTACAAGAGAACCTAAGAGAATTGGTACTTTTTAAAGGCAAAGGGTAGTCGCATCAAATAATTTAATTTGTTTCTTCTGTTGACTTCACTTTCTAGCAACTTTTTTGATTACTTATACCAGTATTTATTGAAATCATTCCTGCTTTACAACAAGCCCCTAGAATTTTTGCTTAGCATTTTAGGTATCAAACTTCCAGTAGTGCAATAACTTAAGTGAAGTCCCAAACTGCTCTTCAACAAACCAGGACCTACCTTTGCAGGGGCACAGAGCACTGGTACTAATCTGCAATATAAAGTATCAGTTCCAGCTTAACCCATCTAAAGTTGTAAAGGAACAAATAATAAATAGCATTCAATATGGCATTTTAATAATGAAATTAAATATTTATATTCATAAATAATCTAATCAGTTGAACCATATGTATGTACTGTATGTGTGACCATTGCTACACAATTTTTTTAAAAGTAAAGGTCCTTTACATCTGCCGCATATTATTCATCTTGAAGTTTGCCATAAGCCACTACCTGTATAACCCAAGTTTTTCTCTGTGCTTCTTCCATTACTCCTTTTTTTTTTTCTTCTTTTTTTTTTTTTTTTTTTACCTCATGCAACATTAAGCAGTTATTGATATGTCTAGGGAAATTTTTGTGATGTTGACGATTGATTTTTTTTTTTTCTTTCTACTAGTTTGTTTGTATAGCTCAGCAGGATTATTGCCGCATCCTGAACCAGGTGGAGAAGAATATGCAGAAAGTTGAAGAGGAGGGGGAAATTGTCATGGTAAAAGAGCATAGAGAACTTGACCGCACTGGTACCAGGAAAGGTCACATCGTCATCAAGGTACCAAATAACTAACACACATTACCTTACTATAAAATCTATGTAAGGCCTTTCTTTTCGGCATTTGCTAAATTTATTGTGGACAGTTGTGGACCTCTTGTCTGTGTACTTGTTTTTCTTAATGTAGCTGTTAGTATTATGTTGAGGTTAGTTGTGGAAAGGTTAAAGGGGTAGTTCACCAAAGAACTGCCTAAGCAGGTAAGGGGCGTCTGTGGATAAACACAAACTGTGTGTTTCTGACTAAAGTTGAATAATGTCCTTTTTATATATCTATTGGGCATTTACATACTTTATGAAGCCTGGCTGGAATGCTCCCAGAACGTTGCTAAGTGTGGCCTAGTCATTACTGCTCACCCCCACGGGAGTGAGCTTTTTCTCTGATTCAGACCCCCTCACATGCTCTATCTCTCGCCTGATACTGTAGCTCTGAGCTCAGCATCTGAGAGCTCGCTGCTTTGATGGAGGAGGTGCGCGGTAATGTAGGCCTCACATAGCAACGTCCTGGGAGTATTCCAGTCAGGCTTCATGAGGTAAGTAAATGGCTTACACCAAAATCAAGGGCAATATTCAGCTTTAGTCAGAGATGCCCAGTTTGTTTTTATCTACAAACACCCATTATCTGCATAGGATATTTTTTGGTAAAGGTGAACTAATCCTTTAAGCAAGATTTTAGCTTTGAAAAAACACACAAGAGGGCGCACACTCCTCGTGCATTACTGCGATAAATATACTTTATTTTAAAGACATGGCAAATGGATACTTACAAACCAAACGTGTAATCAAGCATATAAAAACAGAGTTTCAATATGAGATTGCGAGGTCCCGTCCTGGAACCTCCTGGTTTTAGACGCTGATGCGTTGTGGGAGCTGTCCTCCCTTCTTCAGAGCTGAGAAGGGAGTACAGCTCCCGAAATGCATCAGCATCTAAAACCAAGAGGTTCCAAGACTGGGACCCCATGATCTCATATTGAAGCTCTGTTTTTTATATGCCTGATTATACATTTAATTTGTAACTATCCATTTGTCATGTCCTCAAAATAAAGTATATTTATCGCAGTAATGCACGAGGAGTGTGCTCCCTCTTGTGTGTTTTTTCAGTGATTGAGGATTCCCCGATCTAAGGAGGGCTGCAGCTATACAAGCAATCCATTCCGTGAAATTGTGTCCAGCATCGTGATTTGAGTGCTGAGGTGTTTTGCAAAATTATAGCTTTGATTGAGTTAAAGTGATCATACATCATCATTTAAGGTAGATAGGTCTTTATTATTAGGCCAAGATTAATATATTGAGGGAACCATTTAGAAATAATCTTTAATTATTGTGACTGCTCTAAAGGAGGAAGCTGATTAACTGCTGGGAGTAGCTCTTTGCACTGTGTTAATGAATGAGCTCAAAAAGTCTTTGTTTAGTTAGGTAAGGATAAGCATGGAAACGCACTACCCTATGCCATCTACCAATATGGGGAGGCTTGGTGGTTAATTTTCCCCATGTCCTTCCTTTACCGAGTATTTGCAGCGGTTTCCTCCTAGCACTCAAGTCTCTTCACTACAATCCATAAAGCCTGCTGATCTAGTTGGCCCTCACACTGCTATGGAAAGATCTTCAGATTACTAGATTTTCTTGGGCAGGAGTTGACATGATTCAGTGGTTTCTGGAACAGTGTGTAATATGCTATCATACATGAGAAATACATTGGGAATCTTTCTTGCTATACCTGCTTTAAGCTTGGAAAGCTTACAATTAAAGTATTAGTGGGTTAATGCACATTATTGAACTTCTCACTATAATATGAAATAGTCCAATTTTTCTTTATCCCTCTCGCAGAGCTTATGATATTGTTTATATACAGGGAACTTCGGAACGTCTCACGATGCACCTTGTGGAAGAACATTCTGTGGTTGACCCAACGTATATAGAGGATTTCCTTCTCACATATAGGACCTTTTTGTCAAGTCCCATGGAAGTGGGAAAGAAGTTATTGGAGTGGTTTAATGACCCTAGCCTCAGGGACAAGGTAAGAATAGAAAATATTTATAGGAAACCGTGTAAAGATATTGTATTTTCTGGTGGCTTAGAGGTATTTTCCTTTGCAGGGTGTGAATTGTCTTTCTCTGTGTGGTTATTACTCCAATCTTTTATAATAACTCCTTTTTAAAGCACACCTGTCACTTTTAAGCACTCACACATTTAAGCAAGGCTTTTTGCAATGCAATCAAAATGAGCCTTTTAAGTGCAGCCATGTGCCTCAAGCTTCCTTGATGGCACACGTTCCTATTAAATATAATTGTCAGTGTACAGTTTGACCATTCCACACAATGAGCCTCATTTTCTGTCCTTTACCTGGCAGGTGACTCGAGTTGTATTGCTCTGGGTTAACAATCATTTCAATGATTTTGAAGGTGACCTGGCTATGACTCGTTTTTTAGAGGAGTTTGAGAACAACTTGGAACGTGAGGTAAAATACTTTTAATTTTCTTTTGTGCTAATAAAAACAATTTTTAGAGATTATCAATAGATATGAATGTATACCAGGTTATTGTGCTCCTAGAGAGTAATGTTTTAAATGCTGTTTTCCTACTTGCTTCCAGAAAATGGGAGGACACCTGAGGCTGTTAAATATTGCATGTGCTGCCAAGGCAAAGAGAAGATTGATAACACTAACAAAGCCATCTCGAGAAGCCCTCTTGCCTTTCACCCTTTTAGGGGGGTCAGACAAGGGATTTGGCATTTTTGTTGACAGCGTGGATCCTGGAAGCAAAGCTGTGGAGGCTGGCTTAAAGAGAGGGGATCAGGTATGTAAGACCACCATCTCCCTGGGAAATCCTTTCTATTTACTGTTGGGAAGAGCCGCAAGAAAGGAACATTTCAATAATTCATGTCAATTAAATCCATTACCTTTGCAACTTCTTTACATTAAAGGGAAAAAATTCAACATAGAGCCATTCTTTCTCAGGAAGGTAAATGTCACAGCTTGGATTATTAATCACGTTGTGTTCCTTGCCCTTTACTTGTAGATATTAGAGGTGAATGGTCAAAACTTTGAAAACATTCAGCTAACGAAGGCTATGGAAATTCTCAAGAACAATACTCACTTGTCTATCACTGTGAAAACGAATCTGTTTGGTAAGCCAATTGCTCATGTATGATATGTTTACTTTTATTGCAACTTTTTTTAGACTGTTCTTCAAAATTGATAATGCACTTTCTAAAGCGTCTCTTTTAGGGCTCTTTCAGATTGGCGGATGCAGTTTTACTTATTCCAGGCTGCCCACCTGAATTGTAAGAGTACAGCTGAACAGAGCTATACACATTCTGCGGCTTTTTTACTCAGGTGCAGAGGTTAACGTTTAGCACACCTGTAAAACTTGCCCAGTGAGTTCAATGGAGCCACGCCACAACTGCAAGCCAAGTCCTGCAATGTAGAATTGCTGTTTGGAAATTAAAAAAGTTAAAACAAAAAGCAGTCATTCAGGAGGCAGCAGTAGCGCATCCTGAATGTCGAGAGCTGCTATACGACCCTCCAAAAGCAGTGCACTGTGGATCACTTTTCAGAGGGTGGTTAGCAGTACTACAAGTTTTTAAGAAGCCTTACTGCATCTACCTGGCTAGTTCAGTGTGTTGTGTTTAGGTGAACACAAGGTCAGTATTAGTATCTGGGCCTGTCTATGCTTTTGTCTTTTCATGCAGTGAAAGACCATGCATTCTTCAACATGAAAACACATTTCAAGTAGAAATCCTATTCATTCCATTGTGCCAACTTGTCTCAATGCTGCAAATTAGAGTTTTTTTAAAACATGACATGCTGCATCTTTATATTTTTTTGCATGTAAAGTAGATAAATTAAAACATATGGTAAATGCTCAAATAGCAAGACGCTTTCACACATGTCAACCATGAAATTGTCTGATTCTTAAATCTTTTATGTTTCTGTTTTGTTTAGCTCCGAGCACAATAACACAAGTTTGTTGCATTTTTTTTTCCAGTCTTCAAGGAGCTTCTTGCTAGAATGTTGGAAGAAAAAAGAAATAGTGCCCCACATTTGCCTAAAATTGGTGACATCAAGAAGGCCAGTCGTTATTCTATTCCAGATCTCGCTGTTGATGTTGAACAAGTTATTGGACTTGAAAAAGTGAGCAAAAAGGCCAAAGCCAACACGGTCGGAGGAAGAAACAAGCTGAAGAAGATTCTGGATAAAACTCGAATTAGTATTCTTCCTCAGAAACCTTACAAGTATGTATGTTTAAAAAGTTAAACTAGAACTGTAGGCAAAACTTCTTTTTTTTTTTCATTTTGAATAGAGTAAGGGAGGGTTATAACCCGTCAGATTTTTTTTTGCCATATATGTCCCATTGGAAAGATTTACCTTCACTTCCTGTTCCATAGCTAAAAACAGGAAGTGAGAGGAAATCCCTGGAAATTAAGAGAATCCCATGGGAACCTGTAGTTCTCCAGAACTACTGGCCTCATTGGAACATTTCCCGTCTATTACTGTGCTGGGGACAGCCCAATATTTTAGATTTTCTTTTACTTTCACTTTCAATGATAATGGTAAATAGGACAAATAGAGAGGGTGAATCTCCCTAATGGTAGCACAGGCAACAATAAAAACCTAATAGGTGTTCTAATCCATTTTCATTGTGTCCAAAACTAAAAGAATGCCTTTTAATTTAATAAAATATTTTACTTGGTAAACATTTTGTCTCTTTCTGCTGAGTTTGCAAGATTTTGTTTTTGTAAATATGAATTCTGTCCTATTTTCTTACGCTGTGCAACATAATCTTTCCAAACTGAGATGCCCACTTGATCATGCCCATTACAAGCAGCAGATCAGTCTAATATCTAATCTACTCACCAAAAGGAGCATTTTTATAAGTGGTCAGACCTACTGCACTGATTTTATCACATAAAAAAAAAATTATTTTTTTAATCCAATCAGACGTTTTACTTTTAAGTGTTGATAAGCCTATCAATTCAGTCATTTATACAAGAAGCCTAATCTGACCAACTGGTTAGCTTGGCATGTCTTCCACAGAATAAATACAGGCTCTAAAGCCCCATACACACGATGAGAAAATTGGATGAATGATTGTTTGGGGGTTTTTTTTTTTTTGCTTGCTAGTCTCTTATTGAAAGTGAAGACGTTACAAAAATTCTTGTACGACAGAATAAAAATTTGGAAGTGATGTATTTGTATTGTATTTATAGAGGAAAACTGTACTGGTTGAATGAAAATGAATGGTATTTTCGTGCTTGTCTCGTCGATCAATTTCGGATTAAAGCTGTGATCTAACGATCAGATTATTGTACGATCACTTTGAAAAGGGTATTTTTCATTAGATTTTCTGATTGTGTGTACTAGGCTTTACCTGACTCCCAACTTGTATAATGACCTAAGCACATTTCCTTTCCAACAATAGGTCTAATGTCACAAACCGGTTTTGTTAGATGAGAAATAATTAATTGCACAGCACACACCCTTCTAGTACTGCTTGCTACTTCATGTCCTGAAGTAATAAAATAGTTCATTGTTTTGCACCCTTCTGCCCAATATGCCTACTACAGAGAAATCTTCAAAGGAATTGGGGATTGCTTCCCTGTGAACGGATTTGGGCCTCTCCCTTTTGTATTGTAGTCACAGACAACAAAAGCTGATGTAAGCTGTGTACACTCCTACTCTCTCATTCTATGTGCTAGAAGGAATTTTTACATAAATGCATTAATCAGTGGAAACTGGCAATTAGTTGTCTGATGGTAAGAAGAAGGAAATCGGCATACTCCTGCACAGAACATTATGCAAGCCTTTAGCTACTAAATTCACCAGTAAACGTTTAAACAGAATTAAGGAGCTCCTGGCTATAGCATGATGTAATCTATCAGGAGAAAAGGCACCTGTAGCTCCAAGAGTGTTTAACAAAACTGGAGTGCTGGTGCTATGGATACCTAACAACACAGCATCAAAATATTTTCTCCTGCTCACTGCTGTCAGGAATGAAGGTGTCATGAATGCAGTTTTTACTATTAACTGTATCAGGGATTACGTATAGACCTGTCTTTCCATTTGAAATTTATGTATGTTGATGCGGAGATGGGGGAAGGATTTACACTTGATAGGATTTATTGTCCTCATTTAGCATTTCCTAAGCATCAGGTGAAAATACATTTACCTCTTGAAGTTCACTGACATTTCACTCCAAAGTGTTATCACAGCACAGTGAGTGGGCATGCAACTCCCACACAGCCTAGCAGCATCCATCCATTTGGCCTTAATGAGCTTTTTCATGCTTTCTATTTAAAGGTGTAGTAAACCTAAATACAGGCTGGCTTGTATAACTACATTATGAGTAACTTGGTCATTTCATCCAGTAGTGCTATGTCTGTTGTTGGTAAAGTTTTTCAGGCCTAGTCACCTCCTGCCGTCTTAGTTGCTGCTTTCCTGGTCTTACACATCCTGCAGCAACAGACATGTTCACCCTCCGCCATTTGCATTTTCCATGGTATAAAATGAAAAATCCAACTCCTTTGTTTTTAGCACTTGTAAGTGTAGTGTAGAGCTACTGAATTGGCACAGCAACATAGATTTAGCCACTAGAGTCCTAGGTATTCATAAGAAAATGTTAGATGATATGTCATCTATTACAATTTGAAATTTCAATTTTGGATGGATTGACCTTTTAAGGTACCTATAACAATCTAATCTGACAAATTTCCTTGAATCAGGTGTGATTGATAGCATATTAGTCTCCCAAGATAAACTCTAGCTGTAGGAATGAGTTCATTGACTTTGGATATTAGTTTCAGACACTTCTAACTTGGAAGTAATTGGGGAATTCAGTAGATAATTTTCAACAGCAATTTGGACTGCTGTTCTTGTATTAGATAGTCAGCATCTCACCTACATCTATTTTATATGGATAAACAAATTAAAATTAATTTGTTTAATAACAATGAGCTCTGCGAAAGAAATTACTAAAACTTCAGCAATATAAAGTAAACAAAAGCTTCTGTAAGAATGGGAATTTGTGTATATATATACACCATGCATCAAAGCTGCACAGAGGTTTTATTTAACTGTTTTTTTTGTTTTTCCAGTGACATTGGAATCGGCCAGTCTCAAGATGACAGCATTGTCGGTCTGCGACAGACCAAGCACATGCCAGCTACACTCCCCGTCAGTGGACACACTGTCATCCAGTAATCCAGATCTGCTGCAGTCTCACCACCGTATCTTAGACTTTAACACCACTCCAGGTGAGAATTGCTCCCTTTTATCTTGTCACAGCACCTTCCCCCATTTGTGTCTGCTGTCCTATAGCCTTGCACTGGCATTCTCAAGGAGCTACCAATGCTGATTTGTTTTCATTAACTATGTTGATTGCACAAGTTCCCTTTCAACAGCTGCTTACTTATGCCTGTGTTTATTTTTCCACATTTCAGGATATTTTTAGCCCACTTAATGATACGCAGTACATCATTTAGTCTAATGTAACCTCTTTATTATAATGGATTTTGCTGTTGAATGGTCTGGTAACAGTGAGTTTGCAGGAGATGCAAGCTACTTCAGTGATAAAACACACAGAGCTGTGTGTCAAGTTTCAGCAAAAAGAAAAATAGATCTTCAGAATTTTATTTGTCAGGATTTCATGTTGGGATCCTTGGTTTTTTAAATCGGTAATGTGTGAAGTGGAATGACTGTTTTATTGTCAACATGCTGCTGAGAGTCAATTTGTTATGTTCAGAACTATGCATTAAGCCTCGGTTCACACTATGAATCACACTTGAATGGCACCACATTCCTGTGCAATTCACGTGACACACCAAAAGCGTGCTTGAACCGATTTTGGAGCTGTACTGGATCTAATGGTCATGTTGTACCATGTAAACCCGTGCAAGCAATCGCACTGCATTTGTGACCTACATTTGGTATGTTGTTAAGATTGCACTGACACCTGCTGCAGATCGCAAGGGCGGTCTGGGAAACGCACACGGATTGAGAGTTTCCTGCACATCATTCTAGTGTGAGCCTAGGCTAACTATACATATGTCAGATTGTGTCGTATGTTTATGTACTTTTCCATCACTGGACTGCTCATATATTACAGGTTGCAACTGTGGAAGTGTGGGTGGATGGGAGGGTGAAGTGGGTGTCAAGTTGGAACAGCGGGGAGGTCGGAGTGTTTTTATTAAACAAATCATATGAAGCACAAATACCATGGTATTGCTTAATTTTTTGTTTCCATACAAAGGTCGGAACATTTAAAAACAGTGTGTTACAGGTATGCAAGTCATATTTAGGATAGCACAGGTCGATCAACTTCTCCTTTTCCTAGCCAAATATACGTGCAAAAAAAAAGTACTGTGTTAAGTGGGGTGATAATGTGTTGGGTATACTTAACAGATCTACATTCATTCTCAAGGCATATCATCCTCAGAGTTCAAGTAATATAGAAACATATGTTTCGCCAAGAATAACTCCTTGTTATCTTCAAAGCATAGAGCAGAGACACCCATAGAATAAGAGCATCAATAAAAAATCTTAAAATCAATTGGGAGAGTTATTCAAGACAGGGAAAAGAATAAGAAAGAGAGGGTAAGGTAAGGGAAAAGTCGGGTCAAGGCTAAACTGGGCTTCCATTTGTAGGGCAGACCTCCACATGAGTGTGCATCATTAGCTTAAAAGATAAGCTCACCTTTTGGGAAAAAAAAAAATAAATGCTTTATTATTTTTTTTTTTTTTTTTACCTAAGGAGCCTGGAAAGTATTGCACATGTGATCAGTGGATCAGGAATGTAGTGCCAGACTCCTGCAGGCAAGCCCTGCAGCTTTAAGCCTGTACCTTCATATGGGCTGACTGTTTACAGGCTGCAGGGCTTGTGAGTGAACTAGGAGGCTGCAGCTGCTGGAGCATGCAACATGTTCCACCCTAAATACGGGTGGAACATGCAACATGTTCAAAAATGTGAACTTATCCTTTAAAGTGTCCATGTATATTCAATAAAATTCCCCCCAAGGTTTATAATTTGTGGCCCACACTTTTTTATGAATTTGTGGATTTTATCATGTAATATGACTAGTTTTTTCATTGAATCAGTATCAAGTTTTTTTTTTTTGTTTTACCTGGGTTATTGTGGGAGTCCTGGATTTCCATACTTTCACCATACTTTCGATTTTCTTACTGGCCGCTGTGAAGATAAATTGCACTAATTTGAGTTGCTTGTAGGTACAAGCGAGAGGTAAGGCTTCATAATGGTTTTTGAGCAAACTCTTTCACAACACCATATAGATCACTTGGTAGACCCTTGTCCAAAGTTATTTTATTCTTGGGCATTCCCACCACATATGTATTAAAGTGCCTTTCTGAACAACAGCCCCTAAAGCAATGGTCTGAGGCACTCTGTACAAATGTAGGTATTCTTGAGGGTACCATATACCACCATAAGAGAAGTTCATAAAGATAAACAAACCAATCCAGCGCACTACAACTCCCAGCTTTCAATAATATCTGTCGGGAATGCCAGTAAAGTTAAAGTCCAGTGGAGATCGGTGGTCATGCAGCAAGGGATCCTGCAGCTATCAATGTAGATCCAGGGAGATCAGGAGAACTCAAGAATATAAGAACAGTACTGGATCCCCATTAACATAGTGAATTCCATTTATTAAAAACAAAATATCGCACACTTACATCTAGAACTCTTGACATCGGCACAGGGATTACTTGTAGACCGTCGGCTCATTAGTATGCAGCAGCAATTCATATATCTCTCAAGCCGGCATAAGGAGAACCTGTTCTGACAGCTGTCAAAAGATCGCTGAAGCTCAGCGTCCTGCAACGCTGTGCACTGCCTCGTGGTAATCCCTACGTGATGCTGGGAAAGGTGGGAGGTACCATGTTTCAAAGGAACAATCCTCCTTATCCTGCCCCTACAACTGACAAGTGGGTTTAAGTAAAGATCGATCCAGGCACAAATGTTAATTGGCGCTATAGGAAGCCGATGCCTATCATGTACAGCTTAGCTATTAAATGTTTCTAAATACATCGCTGGACAAATCGAAGTTCATATTTAACATTGTACATTATTGTTTAAAAAAGATAGCTAGTAAGGGAATAATTGACATGACTAATTAACCCTTAGCATGCCATGCGGAAAGGAAATGTCAATGTGCACTCCATATCATAGCAATGCTTAATCTAGTTCACATCCTTAATCAAACTCAAACATTTAAAAAAATGATATGTATATTATTTAAAATAGTGTGTGTGTGTGTGTATGTATATACACACTATATTACCAAAAGTATTGGGGCACCCCTCCAAATCATTGGATTCAGATGTTCCAATCACCTCCATAGCCACAGGTGTGTAAAATCAAGCCCCTAGGCATGCAGACTGCTTCTACAAATATTTGTAAAAGATTGGGTCGCTCTCAGGAGCTCAGTGAATTCAAGCGTGGGACCCTGATAAGTTGCCACCTGTGCAATAAGTCCATCCATGAAATTTCCTTGCTACTAAATATTCCGCAGTCATGAAGTGTTAGGCCACGTAAAATGACAGAGTGGGGTCGGCGCATGCTGAAGTGCGCAGAAGTCACCAACTGTCTGCAGAGTCAATTGCTAAAGACCTCCAAACTTCGTGTGGCCTTCAGATTAGCACAATAGTGCATAGAGAACTTCATGGAATGGGTTTCCATGGCCAAGCAGGTGCATCCAAGCCTTACATCACCAAGTGCAATGCAAAGCATTGGATGCATTGGTGTAAAGCACGCCACCACTGGACTCTAGAGCAGTGGAGACGTGTTCTCTGGAGTGACGAATCATGCTTCTTTGGCAATCCGATGAACTTGTCTGGGTTTGGCGGTTGCCAGAGAACGGTACTTGCCTGATTGCAATGTGCCAAGTGTAAAGTTTGGTGGAGCGGGGATTATACTGTAGGGTTGTTTTTCTGGGGTTGGGCTTGGCCCCTTAGTTCTTGTGAAGGGAACTCTTAAGGCGCTGGCATACCAAGACATTTTGGACTATTCCATGGCCCAACTTGTGGGAAATGTTTTGGGATTGCCCCTTCCTGTACCAACATGATTGCACACCAGTCCACAAAGCAAGGCCCATAAAGACTTGGATGAGCGGGTTTGGGGTGGAGGAACTTGACTGGCCTGCACAGAGTCCTGACCTCAACCAGATAGAATAACTTTGGGATGAATTAGAGCGAGAGACTGTGAGCTAGGCCTTCTCGTTTGGCATCAATGCTTGACCTGACAAATGGGCTTCTGGAAGAATGGTCAAACATTCCCATAGACACACTCCTAAACATTGTGGACAGCCTTCCCAGAAGAATTGAAGCTGTTATAGCTGCAAAGGGTGGGCCAACTCAATATTGAACCCTACAGGCTAAGACTGGGATGTCATTAAAGTTCAAGTGCTGTAAAGGCAGGTGTCACAATACTTTTGGCAATATAGTGTGTGTGTATGTGTGTATATGTAATATATATACTGTGTGTATATATATATATATAATGTATATATTTAAAAATTGAACAATCCTGATGTGCTGGCAGCTTGAACATTGCTTGAGGCCCCTAAAATGTAAGGGAAGTAAAATACCCCCCAAAGGCCCCTTTTGTGGAAAGTAAACAGTCTGATGTATTTAGTAACAGGCATAGAAAGTTTTTTATCGTCGTACATTTTTTTGTCACCTTTTTTTTTGGAAAATTAAGAAACTAATAAAATGTTTTTTTTTCCCTCCCAAATTTTTTACTTTTTGTTTCATTGTACATACTGTCACTAGCACAGTACAGTGTCATCATATGACTGGTGTGGTGGTGAGAGATACTGAAAAATTTTTTTTTAAATCATTTTTTTATGAAATGTTTTTTAAATTATTATTTTTTTTTTTTTTACATACTCTCATTAGAGTAGTTCCGTGTCACCATAGTAACACTGTGCTACTCTGGGGAGGGGGGAATCAAGGATTTTTTTTTCCTTTTGTACACTTTGATTGCTGTTACAATGGATATCATCATTGTACCAACTTTGAACTGTCATAAATGAGTTTGATTCATGACAGCTGTGATTACTAATGATCTGTGATAGGCTACAGCTAATCACATGGTACAGGGTGCTTTAATTGGCCCTGGTACTGTGTGATAGCTGTGGGATAATCACAGCTCACTAGTATAGGAAGCAGAGCTTCATTCATAACAGCTTTGTTGACATTGTAAGCATGGATTGAATAATGTAAGCCGCATTCCTAAGTGTCTGGTGGAGGCACAGCGCTCTCCTAAGTACATGCAGGCACAATTCTGTACATGTATGTGATTGCGCCTGTACATGCCGCCCACCCGCAGTAAATGTACGGTGGCCAGTTGGCAAGTGGTTAACCTATGTGTCGTTGCACACATAGGTGTGTACAGGTGTTTTATAGGCATAAAAAAAACCCCCTGTGCTTGCGTGTTCAGGAGAGGAGTGTTTTATTGCATAAACGTCCTACACACCCAAACTCATCTACGTACGTTTAGGTCTCAGGCTTTCATTCATTCCAGTGGCCAGAATAAATTAGTATGACATCCTGTGTGCATGAGGCCTAAGAAATACACATCTAGCCCCATTCGTCAATGCTGGCATTTTGAGGAGGGACCTAAACATTTTTAATGCTGCCTTTGTATCTCTTGGAGCATAGGCGTCCGGAGAGTAAAAAACTGCCTGTTTGCATGAGGCCTTAAGAGTATGCTAGCATTTGTAATAATCTACAGTCTATATTACCTTTTCTGAAAAGGACTACTGGGTTGAAAGGTTACATTAATTGGCCAGTAAATATAATTTTAACGTACACTTTTCCTGCTTTGAGAAACCAATGAATAATGATTTGTGAGGAACAGAACCACAAAAAATTATTCACAGATCATGCATTAACGAGTCGATGTAACAGGGTCATACCTTCTATGTGAAACAATGCTACAGGCTCTAAGATAGTGAACTGATAAAGCAGGTTATTGTATTTGAATCTGTCTTTTGATTGATACCTGCAGTCTGTTAAAAGAATAGTTTATGGTTTGGGATTAGTTTTTCCCTTTAATTGCATTTGTGTTCTGTGTAGTAACCTTTCTTTTAGCTTACATTAAATCATGAAACTGGTTTTTAGAATGAAGTACTAGGATATATTTTTGTGGTTTTTGACTCAACAGGGCCACACTGTGGTAGCATTTGTGATTTTTTTTTTTTTTAATCTCGATTTGTGCACATGTACTGTACATTTCTTGACTCCTATTTATATTCTTCCTTCTGGAAACATTTATTTTAGAAAATTTTAAATAGATTTTTTAATAAGTTTTGAATATTATGAATCAAGATAAAGCATATGTGCTTACCTGTTCTGACATCTGATTTACAATATCCTGAACAATTTTTTCACAGATCTGCCTGACCAGGTATTGCGAGTTTTTAAAGCTGACCAGCAGAGCCGTTATATAATGATAAGCAAGGACACCACTGCTAAGGAAGTGGTTATTCAGGCTATCAGAGAGTTTGCACTTACTGCTGTGCCAGATGCTTACTCTTTATGTGAGGTTTCTGTCACTCCTGAAGGTGTTATCAAGCAGAGACGACTTCCAGATCAGCTATCAAAGCTGGCAGACAGAATACAACTGAGTGGCAGGTAAAATATCTTCTATTATTTAATATTATTACCACAACTACTGATTTTTCTGAGGAAATATAACTAAAGTAACATGAGATGTGCTGAAAAGAGCAAAAAAGCACACTGCATTGCTTTTAGCTTATAAAGACAGATTTAAAAAAAAAGGGAGGGGGAAGGGGGTATTTTGCATTTACAGATAGTAAATTAAGGCATAGAAATCATTCTGCAAAGGTTTATCTCTGTGGTTATATGTGTATATTCAAACAATGTTTTCTGAATACATTGCATTGCAGTTGTTCAAAAACCAATGTAAATTCCCAGATAACACATAGCATATTTCCTATAATAAGGATAAATTAAAATTATATTATCTCCTGTGGTTTATATATCAGTGAAGGTATTTGTCATAGTGAATTGTGCAATTCCTAAATAACTAATATGTTTATTTTTTAAGGTATTACCTTAAAAACAACATGGAAACAGAAACATTGTGTTCAGATGAGGATGCCCAGGACTTGCTGAGAGAGAGCCAGATTTCTTTGCTTCAGTTAAGTACCATTGAGGTGGCTACGCAGCTTTCCATGAGGAATTTTGAGCTGTTCAGGAACATTGAGCCCACGGAGTACATTGAAGATCTCTTCAAACTGAAGTCAAAGATTGGTTGCACCAACCTCAAGAACTTTGAAGATGTAATTAACCAAGAAACCTTCTGGGTGGCTTCAGAAATTTTAAGGGAAACCAACCAGCTGAAAAGGATGAAGATTATCAAGCATTTTATCAAGATAGCACTGCACTGTAGAGAATGCAAGAACTTCAACTCAATGTTTGCAATCATTAGGTAAGGATTTTGACAAATGCTTATAGTTGCTCAACAAGGTCCACTATATCTTATGTAAGGCTTTTTAAAGTGTATGTAAATCTTAACAATGAACACTTATTTGTTCCCTTTTGGTTTGTTAAACAATCAACTCAAAGCATTTTGTTACATTTGTTTGATAGGTTCAAAAAATACCTGTTGATCATGTCAGTTGCCCTGTGTCCCCTCCGCACTACCTGTGTTTTCTCAAAAGAGGCTGTTTATCCCTTCTGTTTCTTATTCTGGACTACATAATGATTAGACTTTGCTTTACAGATCTGTGAGTGGTAGCGTTTGAGCAGTTTAGCAAAAGACAATGGGATGGCTGAGACTACCACCAAAAATACTGTTACATAGTCTGGCTGAAAAAAGACAAAAGTCCACCTAGTTCAACCATAAAAAAAAAAAGTTATAATCCTATACGCACAGTTGATCTAAAGAAAGGCAAAAAAAACCCAGCAAAACATGATCCAATTGAAAAAATTCCTTTCTGATCCCCCAAGAGGCAATCTGATATTCCCTGGATTAACTTTACCTATAAAATGTTGGTATGATCTCTTGTTCTATGTGGGGAATCCCAGGATAACACTCCCAAATTTAATGAAGCGTTTGAAGGAATATGGGGAATTATCAAATTTGAAAATTAATATAACTAAGATGGAGATTTTGAATATTAATCTCTCAAATAGTGAAAGAGAAAAGCTACAAAGAGAATTCCCTTTTAAATGGAAGGAAAGAGAGAGAGTTAAAGTATTTAGGAATAAAACTTACGACCTCATACCAGAACTTATATAAATTAAATTATATTGCATTATTAAATGAGATCAGGGAGGAATTGAGGAAAATGTGAGGAGGAATCCCGACCTGGTTAGGACGCATAAATTTGATAAAAATGATAATTATACCTAAAATCCTACACAAATTCCAAATGGTTCCTATCAAGCTTCCTGAGGCATATTTTAAGATAATAAAAAAAAAAACAAGATATATATGGAGCAACAAAAAACCTAGAATATCTTATGAAGTTTTAAGCAGAACTAAAGAACGGGGGGGTTTGGGAGTGCCAGATTTTAAAAGATATTATAAAGCAGTAATTCTGACAAGAATATTTGATTGGACACACAACCCGGGAGGGAAAAGTTGGGTCAAAATTGAAAATACACTAAGTGGAAGGATACTGAGTGAAATTGTATGGGTGCCAGCACAATATAGAGAATTAGATGATAAACACTAGTGTGTACACTTTGAATGTTTTGAGAGTTTGGGATGTAATGCACAAACAGATGAGATGGGATTTTAATTCACAATTAATGCCACACACAAAATTTTTTCCCCCAGGTTGGGAGAAGATTGCGGGAAGATGGATTAAGAAGGAGAGTGCCCAGTTGAGAGACATAATGGTGGGGGGGGGGGGGAGTTGAAATCACTTAAGGATTTGGAAAAGGAGGGTGGAGAAGTTTTCACTAAGATAGATGAATGGAGGTATCACCAATTGAAACACTTTGTTAGGAACCTCCCAAAACCCCTGAGATCTAGAAAAGAGTGGAATTTGTTTGAGAGACTGCTTGAATCAAGGGGAGATGGGAAACATGGCACAGCAAAAATATTTAAGATTCTCACTGATTTAGACACAACTACAAAGCCAAAGTATATAGTTAATTGGGAAAGAGATTTGGGGGTGGAGATTGATGAGGACAAACAGAAGAAAATATTTAGATTAACTCACGAGAATGTATCCATGAGAGAGGTGGAAATGAATTACAAGTGCTTGATAAGATGGCATATTACACCGGAAGTGGAAAATAAGATGAGTGGTGAGAAGTCAATGTGGTGTTGGAGAGGATGTGGTGAGAGAGGCATGGTATATCATATATGGTGGGGGTGCCCAAAAATTCAAGTATTCTGGAAGGAGATAGTGAATTTAATTAGGAGGATAACCGAAATTGATGTTGGTTTGGATCCAGAGACTTGTCTCTTCCATTGTACAGAGTATTCTGGGAACAAATATAAGGAGACGGGTATTTGGTACTATCTAAACGCAGCAAAAAGGTTGATACCTAAGTTCTGGCGGAAAATAGAAGTGCCGAGGGAGGAGGATTGGATGGAGAAAGTTGACCAGATCCGTAGGATGGAAAAAATCATTTATATGCAAGAAGACAGGATGGGATCATATTATCTGAGATGGGGCAAATGGGAGGAGTTTAAGTTAAAGTTGAAATAGAAGTGGACAGAGTGTATAACAAGAATATCTCTCTTTCTTCTAACTGGAAGTGGTGAAAATATTGTAGGGTAGGTGACGGGAAGGGGGGGGGAGGGATGTGGGAGGGGGGGGGGGGGGGGGGGATAGGAGGGAGAGGGAAAGGAGATTAGTAAGGAATAAAAGTTATTTGTTGGTTTTAGGTGATTATAAGTGTAATATGTATTTATTTGGAAAATTTAATAAATATTTTAAATAAAAAAAAAAAAACTTTACCTATAAATGTTGGTATCCAGTTATATTCTGTGCATCTAGGAAAGAATCCAGGCCTTTTGTAAAGCAATCTACTGAGTTGGCCAGAACCAACTCTTGAGGGAGTCTATTCCACATTTTCACAGCGATACAGGAGAGGATTTTGCTCGCTTTAGAAACTGCAGCTTGGTATTGCATGCCATTATTAAGCTTGCGATGTACCAGAACTCCCAGATCCTTCTCCACCATTGATTCCCCAGTTGTTCCCCCCCCCCCCCCAGTATTATGATGCATGCATATTCTTAACCCCCAAGTGCATAACCTTACATTTATCAGCATTAAACATCATTTACCACATAAACAGTGCATTACGTTGGAGACATCCTGTAAGGACGTTATTCCACTGCACAGCTTGGTGTCATCTACAAAGACTGAAATGGTATTTTTAATCCCAGACCCTATATCATTTATAAATTTATTAAAATGTAAGGGTCCCAACACTGAACCTTGGGGTACACCACTGACAACTCTAGACCGTTCAGAGTATGAATCATTAACCACTACTCTCTGAATACGATCTTTTAGCCAGTTTTCTATCCATTTGCATACTGATTTTTCCAAGCCTGTAGACTTTACCTTACACATTAGCCATGTGTGGGGAACTGTGTCAAAACGCTTTTGCAAAATCCAAGTATAGCACGTCCACCGCCACCCCTCTGTCCAAGGTTTTGCTCACCTCCTCATAAAAAGAAATCAGATTTGTTTGACAACTTCTGTCTTTCATGAATCCATGCTGTCTGTTGCTTAAAATATTTTTTTCCAGCAAGAACTCATCTATGTGGTCTTTTATCGCACTCTCCAATATATTCCCAATTATAGATGTAAAACTAACGGGTCTATAATTACTTGGTAAAGATTTTGATCCCTTTTTAAATATTGGCACCACATTGGCCTTACGCTATCCAGTGGTACAAAACCAGTCATTAACGAGTGCCTAAAAATGAGAAACAATGGCTTTGAAATGACAGAGCTCAATTCTCTAATGGCCCATGGGTGTATGCCATCCAGTCCAGGTGCTTTATTTACTTTTATTCTGTCTAAATATTTCTGAATCATATCAATTGTGAGCCCATGTGGATCATCAGAGGCTGTGTCAAGACCATGCCCATTATGGACAAGCGCTTCCCATGCTCCTTTGTATACACAGAGCTGAAGAAGGTATTTAATAAATTTGCCTTCTCTTTGTCCCCAGTTACCCACTCTAGATTATTTTGTAAAGGGCCTACATGCTCGGACCGGACCTTTTTAATATTAATATATTTGAAGAATTTTTTGGGTTTTGTCCTGCTATCTTTTGCAATTTGTCATTCATTTTCAATTTTTGCAGCCTTTATTTCCTTTTTACATATTCTGTTATATTCTAATGTTTCAATGATTTGTATATCTTACAAAAGCTCTTTTTTTATTATTTATAGCTTTTTTAACTTTGGCTGTAAGCCACATAGGATTTATTTTTAGAATTTTAAACTTATTGCCCATAGGAATATATTTTGCAGTGTGTTCACATACAGTCTTTTTGAAGAACTCCCATCTCTGTGTTGTGTTCATCAATGCCAATATTCCCTCCCAGTCTAAGTCTTGCAGAACAGCTCTCAACCTTGCAAAATTAGCTCTCTTAATGTTGAGTGTTTTTATTTTTCCCGTATGTGCTTGTTGTTTACAGCTAACAATAAATTAAATCATGTTATGGTCAGTGCTACCCAGATGTTCTGTTATATGGACATTAGTAATAAGCTCTGCATGGTTTGAGATTACCAGGTCCAGCAGAGCATAATTCCTAGTTGGGGCCTCTATGAACTGTACCATAAAATTGTTGACAGGGATTAAGAACTGAGGGCATTTCTGACAAATCTACAGATGTTTTCCTCCACTTGCAAGGTATCTAAAGGGATGAAACACTGGAAAAACTGCAGAATAGTGCATGTTTTTTTTTCCCCTTGATAAACGTTCATAGTTGATTCACACATGTGCGGTGCGGATTGAAGATCAGGTTTCACAGCTAATTGAAACATTATTTGTTCAGTGGTTCAGGTCAGATTTGCATCAGGTTCAGGACAGGATTTTATCCTGTTCACAACTGATGCCATGTGTGGTTTAGAAACTGTTCCCCTGGAAGTCAGTAGTCTGTAATCTGCACCTGAACCAGACTGCACTGCTCAGAAGTTGTACATGATTTTTTTTCAGTATGCACTGAATCCTCACTGCCAGTGCACTGGACATTTGTGAACAGGCACCTTAGGAAGCAATGTTATTTCACATCTCATGCTGATTGGATGTGGTTCAAACTGCAGCCAATCCACATATATGTGAACCAGCACTTAAGGAATAGGATCATTTAGTTAACCCAATAAAGTCCTGGTAATTGCTGTTTCCAACCTGTGGTTACTGGTTGCAGTGTAGCCCAAGGATATGTATCGGGAACAGATCAGTAACAAGCACAGTAATGATTTATAACTTTTTAATGCAGGGAA